CTTGTGATTAAACCAAGGTGCTGGTCAGGCTCTGTGGCAGAGAGGGCGTTTAGGAGCGATTGTGTCTATAGCCCTGGTGGCGGCACCATACCAGACATCCACCAGGGCCTCAACAGGAGCACCAGCCAGGTCAATTGAAATCCCATGCATAGCATCCTGGAATTCCATAGGATCCAGTAGCCTGAGAGAGTGGACCATGAAAATAGGTCTCTGCTCTCCATGGGGAGGGAGGGCCACTGTGAGATTGCACTTTATCAGATGATGGTCCGACCATGACAAGGGGGCCAACCAAGGGTCAGTCACATTTGAGCCACACTCTCTCTGCTCAGTGGAGAAAACCAGGTCCAAAGTGTGGCCACCCACATGTGTGGGGCTGTTAACATGTTAGGACATGTTCAAGGAAGCTATGGTTTCCAAGAACTCAAGAGCCGGACCGGTGACCTCCGCCCCTGCATGGATGTTGAAACCGCCCAAGACAATCAGTCTCTGGGATCCCAACAGAGCCATGGAGATGAAGTAAGGAGGTGGTTAGATCGTGGGGAGCACGGTATGCCAGCAAGATCCCAATACCATCCTTGGCCCCAATCGACACGTGGAGGGCCTCTAGGTCTGGCATTGCCACAGCAGAGAGCCTGACAAACTCAACGGTGTTCTTATAAACAATAGCAACTTCCCCACCCCGAGCCTCCGGTCTACCCTGGTGCTGGACAGCATAACTGAGGGGACAAGCCAGAGGCAGGGGTACACCTCCTTCACTACCCATCCACGTCTCTGTTAAGCAAGCCAGATCTGCATCCTTTTCCAGACTAAGGCCTTGTTTTAGCTGGGCTTTATTGGATACAGACCTGGCATTCAACAGCACGAAAATTAGAGTGGAGGGATGACTGAGCTGGCTACCTTGAGCCTGGTAGGTGGTAACAGCGCCAGAACAATGGACAGCTTTCAGGCAACTGTTGACTGTTTTCCTGGAATGGGAAGTAGTACCAATACCATATCTTCCCCTATCCATAATCACCTGTATGTTCTTGAAGCCCCCACTGGTAGGCAGGCCTTCCTCTCCATTCCTAGCACAAAACAGTCTAACAGCAGCAGAGAAGTCAATTAAGGTAAGAGTAAGTACACAATAATTAACAGTAACAAATTAACATAAACAAAATGAATTACACACTATTAACTGAATTAGAATAAATACAAAAAGCAAGACATCAATATCATTTAAATAATTATTGCAACTTAGGGTAGGGGAAGCTAGTTCGTATAGTTAAAGAAAGAAAAGCCCATCCAACCACCCTACCTCTAAGTGTAAGAGTGTAAGTTTGTTTAATAAAGATGAGTGAGGACCAAAGAACCAGGGTAAAGTGAAACAAAATGAAATAAAACAAAGTAAAAAAAAATATAAAACCAAGATGTCCCCCCACAACCAGGTCCTGTCCTGTTGCATTTGGCTGTAGATCTTGTCTTTTCCAAGGAGGCTGTCAGAATTAGTTTATGGGAGGAGTGAAGCATGGTCTGATGATAAAAAGGTGAAATAAAAGTAGCAGGAGAATTGAAAGAAAAAAGGTGCCACTGTTGCCATTCTCCATGGCGGGAGGTCAGATGAAAAGCCCTCACTGAGCATACCAAGTGAAGAGGTGAGGGAGAGTGGTTTCTATGGCTATTGTCGATGATGGAACCACAGAACTCACAGAGCAAACGTTCTGGAGACTTACTGAATGAGTAAGAACAGCAATGCCGCCTCAGCTCACTCTGCCTCCACCATTGCCAACACCATCTGGAACCACCAACAGAACAGCTGGCAGAGCCCCACGACGCCAGGCTCCAATGAGCTTCCCAGCTCCAAGATTCCACCAAGCCTCTCGACGCCTCTCAGTCTTTTAGCACACCGGGAGACGGGGCTTTGTTGCGTTGCTGCCAGTAACTCCAGAGAAGAAGCTCTCTGGAAAAAAACTGGAACTGTCTAGTCCGGGATCCCCCTTTTGAAATGGGGATCAAAGGATAGTCTAGGAGAAGTCTCTCTGAAGCAGATGGTGAGCGGCAGAAGGAGAAGAATGGGAGGCAGACCCGGACTTCTTCCCTCTGAAGAAATCACCATGCACGGACCGGAGCGGTCGCCATTTTTGGCACTGAGCCACGAGGAACCCTTTACCGGGGGAGAGGAGAGCAATCAATATAAACTAATAATATATAACAAGTAAGTAAGCCGAAGCCTCTGATTTATGAAACAGCCTCATTAAGCTGAAAATAAGAATGAAAATATTTGGCTGAAAGAAGAAAAGCAGCAGCGAGCTTATCTTATCAGTCTGACTCAAAAGTGAAACTAAAGCTTATCCAAGCGAACTCTTAAAACAGCAGGCTAATCCCGAAGCCGAGAGAGTGAGACAGAAAAATAAATCTTATGTTTCTGGAAAAGAATCCCAAATAGTAACACTATCTGACTGGATTTAAGAGACTTGAGTGTGGTGAATGCAGTTTGGCTGGGACACGTTTCCCTTCGCCTTTCCCTGGATTTTGTGAACTGTAAATCAGTGGTCCCCAACCTTGGGCCTCCAGATGTTCTTGGACTTCAACTCCCAGAAATCCTGGTCAGCAAAGGTGGTGGTGAGGGCTTCTGGGAGT